GCACGACTCGGAGTTTCAGGCCCATATCTATATATTTTAATAAATAAACCTAATAGCCCTGTTATATTACATCGAGCCCTAATTTATTAACACCAGCACTCAATGGGGCGATATCTTGACGGGCTCAGTCATTAACTACATGTCAGTATGGAGACTAGATTTTTGGGATTACATCCTGCTATTTTTGTAACACTACAATTCAGATTAATTAAAATACGCTTGCGTCGTATACGTAAAACGGTTTCGTAGATCTCGACTGCATCGGCTAAAAATGTATCATACACTCATGCACACACACACACACACACATATATATATATATATATATATATATATATATATATATATATATATATATATATATATATTCACGAACTCTCAGGTGAAAGGTCTAAACGCGATAAAAGCCAACACGCTGAACGCGATATTTAAACAAATTAAACTGACGACATAAAAAAAAAAAAAAAAAAAAAAAATCTTCGAAAATGGCTAGGGGTGTTAGCCAAATGTGCTTAGACATGGGAAGATTTATTTACCAATACCAACAGGAAATAAAAGTAATTATTTGAATTATTTACAATATTTATATTCGCACTATCCTGATTTGTATTGTCCTAATACGTAATCATATTGTCCTAATACGTAATCATATTGTCTTAATACGTAATCGTATTGTCCTAATACTTAATCATATTGTCCTAATACGTAATTATATTGTCCTAGTACGTATTCATATTGTCCTAATAGGTAATCATATTGTCCTAATGCGTAATTGTATTATACTAGTACGTAATCATATTGTCCTAATACGTAATCGTATTGTCCTAATACGTAATCGTATTATCCTAATGTGTATCATATTGTCCTAATACGTAATTGTATTGTCATAGTCTGAAGATGAAGACAGCATTCCAAATATAAATGGTGTAAATAATAAATCTCAAATTATTCGAAATAATAAAAAGTAAATAAGAAAATAATCTGTGTGGAACTTTCGTTGGTTTTTAATCAAACGCTTATAATTTTAAAAAATACTTCCCAATATATATATATATATATATATATATATATATATACACACACACACACTATATATATATATATATATATATATATATATATATATATATATATATATATATATATAGAGAGAGAGAGAGAGAGAGATACTGGTTATTTTCTTCAGCACGATAGTATGAAAATCGCTTGTGGTGTGAAACTGACAGTTACCATGATGCAGAATTTAGCGTTATGTCCTCAATCTCTCTCTTTTTTTCTCTCTCTCTCTCTCTTTCTCTATTTGTATGTGCGTGTGTGTGTGTGCGCGCGCGCGTGCCCGTTTAAGGGCGGATAATCGAATAATTGACGAATTATTTCAAATACTTACATGCTATTATGCAACTACGCGCGCACATCAAATCAGGCCAGATTATTCCATGAGGGGCTCTACCGAGGCCTGCATGTCATTTTCTGGGGTAATGAAGATTACTTGGTGGCGCCACTCTGTTTTTCAAACAAGTAACACGCAACAGGTTATACGGGATTACATAGTAACAGCACTGATGCGAGAAATGTTTTCATGCTTTTTCCTCGGCTATTAGTTTAAAATGAACACAACGGTCTCAAACAGCAACTTGGATTCGGGCTAGCGAACTCCACACCTTCATGCGAATACGTGTACTGGTTACTTTTTGAATTTTGTGTACAATAAACAGAAATTCGTTATATTAAACGAGTGCACCCATAATAACCTACTACACACTAGGTGTTTAATACAAAAGAAGCGCTCAATAAAAGGGGTTGGAATTTGTTTTAATATGCAATAAACAGATGTGTCATAATAAAAATGGTCTATCGAAAATCTTGATAAACGGGATAATCTTAATATGATTAGGCGTTCGGATAATTTCCTGAAAAACGTAAACGCCACCCCGTTTATTAGGCACATAAGAGTGCTTATATCCGAAACTGTTCTTGATATATAGACATTTATATATCGTTATTCGATATATATATATATATATATATATATATATATATATATATATATATATATATATATATATATAGAGGAATCAATAGATTTGCTTTTTAATTTTTATTTGTCATTCAAACGTTATACTTTAGTGGCTACTCCAGTTTCACTAAAATGTAAATATATATATATATATATATATATATATATATATATATATATATATATATATATAATTAATACAAATATAAAGTTTATCATTTAGCTGATTGGTCTTTTAGCATCCTGGTGTACCCTCCACCAATCCTCCATCCACTCGTCAGGAGGTATCAGCAATTCACAGAGAGAGAGAGAGAGAGAGAGAGAGAGAGAGAGAGAGAGAGATATATATATATATATATATATATATATATATGTTTATATGTATGTTTGTGTGTATGCATCTGTGTGCGAGTGTTTTCGAGGAATGATAAATGAGTCCTTAATCAGACACACAGGTGTATTTTGATCTGAAATTTTCACTAAATAAGGTTCAGTCTATGTCATTAAATGGAGAAGTCTTGTGTTAAGTGCATTAGCGTGGAAGGGGATTATGTCGAAGAAAAAAGTATTTGTTGAGCTACATTGATGCTTTTTTAATTCCTTTGCCACATGTTGTCATCGATGTGCTTTACGTACTTTAGGCGAAATGAAAATGTGTCAAATTCAAGTCTTTCCCCCTCTCTTTCCCTCTGTCCCATACCCCTCTAAGAAGATGAGAAGGGGTCATAAGCCTCTACAACTTCCTGTCTTATGTTTGCAGTAAGTGGTTCTTTCTCTTTGTAGCACTTGTCCAATTTATTCACGCTTCAAGTAGGTTACTCAGCTTATCAGGGAAAAATTAAATACATTTCATTTAACATATTTACATAATACCAGTTTTCCAGCAAACCTGCAGAATTTAGCCGGATTATCCATTTTGTCGAACCCGCGTTGGTCACATAATAATAATAATTTAAAAATGATACCTCTAACCACAGATTAGGCATATGGTGATTTTCTAAGCGTAGTATGGAGCACACAGTGAGGATCGAACTCACTACTAATTAATATAGCGAAACAAGCTTCTTACAGGTTATGCATATTTACTGTCTATCAAGAAATGGGAATGTTATCCTTCAGAACATAAGCGATCATGGCTCTCCACAACTTCCTATCCCTTGTGGTCTTTAGCAGTTTTTCTCCTTGCTAAGGCACCCGTTTTACTTTTCGCCATCCATTAATAAAAGCTCGCTGTCTTCTACTACCTCTGTCGTCCTCTCTATGCCCCATGAAGGTTAAGTTTTCCAAGCCCTCTTTCCTCATTATATGATGGGCCTGTTAGAAACATGAATTAAACTGAAATTATATTTGAATTCAATGTCAAATACAAGAGCAGCGTGAGATACAAAAAAATAAGCCGGATTAAAAGAGGTGACTGGACATAGGTTATGAAGAAAATCGTTAATCATCCTAACTGTCTATCTATCCGAAGTGCTATCAGAAGTTTCCCGCTCAAATATATCTTGGCAGAACTCTTTGAGAAAGATTATTCGGCGAAACTATTGGTGGATAAATTTACGAATTTTATTTGATGTTTTTCGTTTTGTTGGTAGGAAGTCTTTTAACAGAGGATAGAAAATTCCTTTTTTTTTATGTACCGTGTCCTTCCAGGAAGTAGGCGATCATATTTCTTAGTACTTTACTTAGCTTTTGGAAGGCATCTTTGGCTAGTCCAATATACGTTCGGATTTCGGTGTCATATTAGGAGGGCCTGGAGAATCTGAGCCCCACAGGTCAAATAGAGGGGAAAAGAGACAAGGGAAAGCAACGCGTGACATAACCTGGCGGGCTTATTCAAGTGGATGGTTTCCCTCATTTCCCTTGTAGCTTTCAATAAGTTTCGTGCCTCTGTCAATTCCCCCAGACCACGTTCTGCCATCCACTTGCTTAAGTCCGCCAGGTTATGTCACGCGTTGCTTTCCCTTGTCTCTTTTCCCCTCTATTTGTCCTGTGGATGTCAGATTCTCCAGGCCCTCCTAATGCGACACCGAAATCCGAACGTATATTGGACTAGCCAAAGATGCCTTCCAAAAGCTAAGTAAAGTACAAAGAAACAGGAAAATTTTATTAAAAATAAAGAAAAGGTGGATGAATCGATATGCATTATCAATTCTCCTATATGGCAGCTAATACTGGACGATCTCCTCAAAGATGGAAAGAAAACAGGATGTAACAGAAATATGGTTCTGTAGAAGGATGCTGGGAATACTGTGGACGGAGCGCGTGAGAAGCAAAAAAAGTTTTAAAGAAAATGGAAACAAAAAAGACATTTATTCTCCGAATACTCTCAATACTGAAAAGAGCGATAACAATTTCTTTACTCGAGAAAACTATCTTCCTTAAAAATTGTTTTAATAGAAAGATTTTATAAATTTCAAAAGTAGCAAAAGTAGCAAAAATCTCTGCTATATACTAAAGTCTATAATATTCTGTAGGCTTTTGAAATCCATTCCAGAAGACCTAATCTTATCTTCATAAACTGGAGAAAATTACAGTTGATAGCTTAGTAAGCTTAAACGAAAGGGGAGAAAAATATCTTGGATTTGCCAGAGAATTTGAAATTTTCAGGAAACATGAAGGTGACAATTACACCTACCATTGTTAGCCCTCTTGTATTAACTCACTTTGTTTCCCATTGTACCTCTCTTAGCACCTGTTAAGCATTATAAAGCAGTATAAAAGTAAAAAGACAAACATCTCTCTTTCGCGCCCTCCTTCTCCGCCTTCTCTCTCTCTCTCTCCCTCTCTCTCTCTTTTCTCACTCTTTTCCCCCTTAAGATACCGTAATGACAAGATGTGTCTCGTTTCCTCTCTGGAGAATTTAATATTCATGCATATCACATATCGCATGGCGTATCACGGAAATTTTCTTTACTTTTCTGTTGTTTGCTTTCTCTTGCTCTTGCTCTTGCTCTCCCCCCTCTCTCTCTCTCACTATATATACATAGAGAGAGAGAAAGAGAGAAGGACAGAGATAGAGAGAGTGAAAGAGAAAGAGAGAGATAATGTATCTTTGAATCCACCTATTTGAATATGTTAAGACATTCAACCGAATGCCGTATACAATTGGTGACCCCATTCTGTTACAACTGGTGACTCCGACGTGATTTGAATACACAGCTGTCACAGTACATTTAGAACAGTCTCTGTTGCGTAGCACTCTAGTTATCAGTTTCGTCTGGCCCGACCAATTCGCGAACATAGTTCGATCCTCATCAAATAAGATACGCCATCGATATTGTCTTATGTCAAAATTAGTGAATGATAAACACATATATTTGTGTGTGTATTTACACACACGACAAAACACATATATGTATATGAATAAAGACAACAGGAACACTTATCTTAGTCAACGCGTTTCGTCAACTGAGAGACTTTATCAAGGCAAGTACAAGGATTTTATTTTGTGACAAATATTTATATACAAGAGAAAAAATGTTATTGGCTTTTCAAAAGTTTTGGTATGGCAGGAACTCATGAATACTCGTCTATCTCAGAGGACGAATCACGTCGGCTAAGATAAGTTTTCATTTTACATAAAGTCTTCTGTGACTGAGATGTCTAAACGGATATGCTTGGCTACACGGTTGTTTCTTTTCCGAAGTCCCAAGTGGAAGGCCCATTAAGACTCTCGAATACACAGTCCGGTAGACAGAGATTTACACTGTTTAAAAACCAGGTATGTCGACTCAAACACGTGCACCCACTAAGTATAACGTTTAAAGTAATAAGAGACACTCTTTTTCTTCTTCTTATAGAATTGTTCTGCGCTGTCGTTCTCTCATTAGGTGTATTTCTGCAACCCTGTCTATGTCACCTCACCAACAATTATTATAATTAGTATATATTGAATTTCCCCACCCGATGGCATTCGTGTCAGATTAAAAGACAGCATATTTCTTCTTCTTCTTCACTACTACTAGCAGCAAAAAAAAACAAAAAAACAAAAACAAAAACAAAAAAAACAATTATCTTCGTCATTAACATCTTGAGAATTTATTCTCATAGTTTTTTTTTATGACTAATGTTTCTTCCTAAAGTTCCAGTTGTACTTTCAGTGCTGTAAATAATAATATCTCCCCAATTATTCCGCCCACACTCTTCTTATTTTACAACGTTTATTTTCATGGAAACTTCTAAAAAGATTTTTAATTTCTAAGAAAATGATCGCTTAGAATAGCGAAACTGAAATTTGATAGAGATTGTGAAACATTCATTCAAATTGTAATTCATTCAATTCTAAAACTTCATTCAAATTATAATTTATTCAATTCTGAAAATTAATTCACTTTATAGTTTATAACAAATCAAAATAATATTTAATCGTGCAACGTGTCGTCTTTCCTCTTTATTTAAAAAAAAAAAAAATAAAATTTAAAGACCTGGCTGAGAAAAGAACCTTTGGAGTGCTTGACATAATTTGTGCCTTTTTGCAATCGCTTCATCATAGTCATAGTAATGTTCGACAACGCACGACAATTTGTGGGGAAAAGAATGACAAATGAAGCCAATGAAGATTTATTTATTTTATTTGCGGTAAATTTTTGTATATTGAAAAAAAAATGTTTTTCAACTCTCATTAAATAATTTGTTGCATGTTTAAAATAAATTCCTTCATTCAAACAAACTTTTAAATAAAATTTAATAAACGCTTCGCGCGGCTTATTCCGATCATTAACTTAGATTTTTTTTAAATACCAAAAACCTCTAGATAACGTACGGATAGACCTCTTAAAAACCCTTTCGTGCAACGCACATTCACGCGCATGCGCGCGCATACACACATACACATACGAGGTAGTTCTTCGGTACAGCAAAACAGCATGAAATAAGTACGTTTCGTTTTATGTTTTTTTCTTTTTCTCTCTTTTTTTTCTTCTAAATTAACACCCCCTCAATCCTGACTCTAGTTATATTTCTTTTTCTCTCTTCCCACTCTTCGTACTGAAGAGTGAGCCGATGGAGAGGGGTGTAAAAATCATACAGGAAAAGGTGGTGAGGACGTGCTTGCTCTCTGTGTTATGTCACATCGAACCGAGTCAGTGGTTGTGTGCAGTGAATAAAGAGTTGTGTGGAGCACATGTTTAGCCAGGACAGAGCAGCCGAGAGAGACACGTGACTTACTCAGCCAAACTATGGAAGCACGCAACGGAAGCTTTTTTCCCCCTCTTTCTCTTTTTCTCTCTATTACTGTTTCCTTTCGCCCGCACCTTGAAATTCACTACGTAATCGCAAAGGTTTGTCTCGTGTCTGGATTGTACTTTTCGTGTGTTATTCATCAATTTCGTCTCTTACCAATGGTACAGCTGCAGCCTGGGCCGTGGCTATGACAGCTGCTGCTATTTTGGGGGGAAATTTTGATTTCTTTTTTTGGTTTGTTTTAAAGATTTCATTTTTTTTTATATATATATGAGATCATTGTAAATAAAATCAAGTACGATTTTTGAAGTTTGAATGACAATCATCTGACACGGATTTCTTATTTAAAGAAATAATAATTTGATGAGTAATAATCAAATCTCATTAATTTTCCGTGCTCTGTTAAAGCAAGAAGAACGCTAAAAGCAACAAAATTAATGGTGAATTTAAAATTTCGGCCAAAAATTTGACCCTATTACAAACAAAAGTTTATATATTTGGATGAGAGAAAATGCCATTTTTAGCATATGAATGTATGTATGCTTACGATTAAGGCCATATCATTGTGATATGTCAAGCATTAACGATCCCGCTAGCAACTTACTATCAGCAACCGATGATGTAGACTTGCTATTCTTTTCAAATTATTGCTCTTGATGCTCAGAACGATTGATTGATTTGTTTTTTTACGGCTTATCAACCTTTTGCAGGTTATTTAAAGGCAGGAAGTATTTTTTAGATTGTAAGAATTTTTGAGACAGTAATGATTTACCGAGACAAATACTACTATTTAACCCATAGCTGGGGGAGAATAAGTGGATTCATACCTTTCTCAAGGGTATTTGCGCGTAAGTGGTTATAACGAACTCAACTGGAACTGGAACTCGGCTCTCCGATTTCCAATTCCGAGCTGTTATCCTTTACACCACCCGCACATCCAAGCTTACAGCACCTGGTATTTCCAAACGGTCACCCATGTCGGTACTGACCAGGCTCGACGTCTCTTAATTTCGGTGATCGTACGAGAACAGATGCTTCAACTAGATTTGGCCGTAAGCCTTTTGATGCACAGAGTGGTTTTCATCCAGTACACTGTTGTTCTTGTTATAAAGAGCGTATGATTGCAAAGGAAAGAACTAACAAGGATAATTACTCAATATTGTAAGAGCTTGCTTGCTGGTGCACAGACGAGTCGTAGCCTAAGGTGGCAGCTTAATCAATAATGATTAAAACGCTGGCAGTAGATATACATCTTCAATATATTTACCAAATGTGAAGAAACGAGGTGAAGAAACCTGTGTTACACGAATCAGATCGAGAAGGCCATCCCTACCAACGTAGAAACCGACATTCAAAATTCCTGCTCTTCACTCTGGCACTTTCACCAAGCTCTCGGGCTAGTGAGAAATACCTGACAATTTCACCCACGAGGCTGATCATTTTCAGTTTAAACTGACACTGTTTTCATATATTGTGACAATTTTGCTTAAAGTTCAAGACTTTTTAAAAAATTTCAGATGAAAACTTAAAAGTTTTATGACAGATTTCAGTGAAATTTGCTCTTTCGAAAAATATAGTTTTTCATAATAGATTAGTAATAAAAAGAAATCGACCCCGCGTTAAATAGCCCAAGTAAAGCTGAGATTTGTAAATAACAACATGTTCACAATCAAGCTATTCTCTGACCATTAGTTATAATCCATCTACTGCACTTATATAGAACATATAAGTAATTACTTATTATGCATAATCGGTAGGGAGACTGGCCCGAAAGAAATGCCTCGTATTATATTCGCAGACCATGTCAGAGGCGGATGTTGGTGATCTATCTATCTATCTATCTATCTATCTATCTATCTATCTATATATATATATATATATATAAATCGCAGCCGAGTGTTTGACTGCAATGTCCACTTTACACACACACACACACACACACACACACACACACACACACACACACACACACACATATATATATATATATATATATATATATATATATATATATATATATCATTTATCCCAAGCAATGCAACAAAGCCACGAAGAAAACAGAAAATAACTGCATTTACAATTCTGAAAATCAAACTTGATCGGCAAGCAAGAAACCGGAAGAGAGTTCCACAAACGAGAAGTGCGAAAAAAGAAACTTTTAGCATAGAACCTACGTTTACATCTAGCCATTTCAAATGTAAAATTATATATATATATATATATATATATATATATATATATATATATATATATATATATATATATATATAGAGACATTGAAGTCAACAACCAGCGGCGACATTCCGTTTCATGCTTAAACACAATCGTCAGGTCATGTGCATGAAACAGTCTGTCGTCGCTGTGTGTTGACTTCAATGTCCACTTTTATATTTACATACGCTCTATCACTGATATTGAGCACTTTAACCCACAAATAGAGCTTACCTTCAAAGAATATATTTTATAATATATATATATATATATATATATATATATATATATATATATATATATATATGTGTGTGTGTGTGTATGTGTATGGTGTGTGTGTTTGCGTGTGCGTCTCTGTGTTTGTGCGTGGTCGTGCATTTCTGTGCTGGCGCTACTATTGGAACGCATTATCTACTAAGTAACTGTGCTCACATTCACGGTCTGGTTTCCGTAAACGTTCAGAAAGAATTGATGTAAGTGAAATTTTAATTACAGAAAAGACAATGGTTTGACTATCGTTTACTGGCTAAAGTCTTGGGGGAAGAGAATAGTTTGAATAAAAGAGTTGCTTAAATGGAATTGGAAAACACACTGTGCTGATAATTTCGGTGGCAAAGAATTAATTAAAAGCAAACCTCGGAATAAAGATTAAAAATTTAAATAAGGTAACATTTCTTAAATATTTGCCACAATCGCCCTAGTGATCGCTCATACTTCTCAGGAAGAAGTCCATTCCTAAGATTTGCTGCTCAGTAACATATCAGCGGTTGGTGAGTTTTCACCTTCTTGGATCACTGTCGATAGATAATCACCAGAACTCACCAAATAACCAATAATGTAAGGAAATGCTTTGATATAGGCAATATGGCAATGATAATTTAGTGGGTTTGACTACCATTTATCGGGCACATGTTCTTGGAGGAAGACAACGACTTGAATAGAGCAGCTGACTAAATGGCATTGGTAAATACACTTACAGTGCTGATAATTATGGTGACAAAGTATGAACTCAAAGTAAATCTAAGAATACAGGAGGTTCTCGACTTACGTCGGACATCCGTTCCTACGGCACGACGTAACCTGATTTTCGACGTAGGTCAGAACTCACCAACATAAGCACCTACGCCTTACGCTTGGGAGCCAGAATGAAGCTAGAAAAGCACCCCCCGCAAAAAAAAAAACGAGAGATAGAGAATGTAGCATAATCCAATATGGCGTACAGCCTGTGAAGAAACAACGCCGTTTTCCTCATATAGCGCAGCGTGACGACGTATTATATTATGGAAGATGGTGCCGTAACCAGGAAACTCCGTACGTCGTATCCGACGTAACCCGAGGAGCTTCTGTAATGATTAATAATTTAAATAAGATAACCTTACATATTATTGTGTTAAATCCACCTTCAGTTATATTCAACCTTTACAATTACAATTAACAGAAGGTAAAGTTGTAACCATAGTTCATTTATGGTGTTCCGATTGTTCGATGACGTCTGAGGTGTACTTGTTCACTTCTAGGGCCCTGTATCCGGTAAACGCTTAGATTTCGTTCTTTCCACGCATAAAACGTGCCCGGGCCAAAACATCTAAGTATTGGAGAGGATTTTAAATTAAATAATGCTGCTGGTGATGATGATCATGAATGTGATAAATGCCCTACCAGGATTGACTCTCATGGCTTTTGATCATAATTGATTGGAGGTGTTAACATGTATTGTTTTATCTTTGTGAATTAAGATGGGCTACAGTAGATATCCTATTCAGTATCACAGATTTGCTTGCCTGAGTTTTTCTAAGTTTGAAAGATGAGGCAACCAAGGCAACTTGCGAGTTACATCTAGATATTTTAGAACACCCTCAATCGGAGACTGTCCAAGTTGATTGGGTGAACCAACTGGAAAATATTCGTAATTGGGCTTTGCCTACAAGGTTATGCGCTGCTTTTGTCAAAGTCTGTCACCCTATCACGCGCATTTGGCTGTAATATGTCTGCCTGGTATACATTTATTAAACAGTGTTTCATGATGAGTATATTATAATTCGTATATTTGCAGTCGAGCATCACTTTTTTGGCGTGCTACTCTTTCAATTATTAATAATAATAATAATGTTACAATTTTATGGGACTGCACAATACACACAGACAGAACAAAGCTAACAACCCAGACATTGTTATTAGAGACCGCAAACAAAAAAAAAGTTGCCTCCTTAATGATATGGCAGTCCCTGCAGACTGCGATGTATCTTTGAATATCTTCAAAAAGCTACCAAAATACAAGAACCTTGAAAACGAAATCTCAAAAATGTGGCACATGGGAACATCAACAATCCCTGTTGTAGTTGGAGACCTCGAATTGATTGGAAAAGATTCCAGTAGACTAATTGAAGGGATTTCTGGAAGCTGATGCCTTAAATAAATACACAATATTGTTCTCACGAGCACAACCCACACCTTACGAAGGGCTTTATCTACGTAAAATATGTAATTTTTGTGTTTTTTTTTTAATTGGTCAGTGGAAAATGTCATGATGTCATTTCCAACCTTAGGTCTCTGGGCGGGACCCGGCAAGAAATGAGTACATACCAGAAATCAAAGGAAATAAACTACTACTACTACTACTACTACTACTACTACTAATAATAATAATAATACATCTTTATACTAAGGCTAGCTGATTGTCATCACAGGAGATCGAATGACAGCAACCACTTCTCACTCACATACTAATATACCTGTGGTGTATATATAAGGCTATATAATACATATTAAAAGTTTACAGACTTTTTGTATCTATTGAGTTTGTTGGTCTTCCTTTCCAAATTGCTAATAATCTTTAGCTAAACAGCTTTGAGATTTGGTCTATTAAATTTAAATATAACGTTGCAGTAAATGCTTTACTTACGACTATTGCAGTTTTTCACGTAATACACTAATTACACGCACCTGAGATGACTCACGCGAGACAAAAAAAACTTGGATGCAGCCATTATAAAGGTTTCGGAAATGTACATGAACAACTGCCGTTTTTGCGAAGGATCATTTAAAGTATTAGAGAAGAAGATGGACAAACTCAATTGACTCATATATATATATATATATATATATATATATATATATATATATATATATATATATATATATATATATATATATATATATATCCGACTAAGTAAAACAAATTTTTTATTATATTATGTAAAGTAGGTCGGATCGAGAGCATTCCTGCAACCATATATATATATATATATATATATATATATATATATAAAGTAGAATAAGTTGGTCAATAAAACAAAGTCAAACGAAAAGGGTTTGCGATGAAATCAGTACGAAAAAATATTTATTAATATTAACCAGGTGACAATAAATATTTTTCGTACTGATTTCATTGGTACCCTTTCGTTTGACTTTGTTTTATTGACCAACTTATCTACTCTACTTTAAATTATATGAAGCATACGTGTACTTTTTTTTTCGGTTATATATATATGTGTGTGCGTGTGTGAGTATAATTTATTTAATGGATTTAAATATACATGAACATATCTAAATCTAAAAATATCAGTAAAATAAATACGCTGAAGATAAAATAAACAAACAAAAAAAATGCTTTCCTATGAGTGCATCGTCGAAGTGACAATGATAGCAGTAATTCTGGTTGTAGTGGTTGTCGTCGTAGACGTGGTATTAACAGTAAATGGTGCAATCGACGCAAGGACTTCCAATATCTTCACGTGGCTAAGCGGTGTGTCTGAACTGAGTGAATCATGAAGGAAAAAAAAGACCTGTCGCCAGCCATACACTCACAGACATATACGAACACACACACACACTCGCACGCACAC